CGCTCAAAAATAAGAAAATTCTTTTAAAATTTTTGTATGCTGAATCCTCGGCTAAAATTATGTCCAAATATTGTGGAACACCCGGTATAAACTGTCCAGAAATAAAACGGTATATTGTATTTTACGTTGAAATATAAAATATGGATTCCTTTCATTTGTTCGCGTGGCTTAACTGCGTTGTATTGTTCGATAAAGGACTCGGTGAATTCTAAGATAGCAGAAATGAATTTCGCCCATGTAAAGTACCACAATAACACACCCTTTGTTTTTAGAGTAGAATCAGTACAAAGGTTTACAGAGTTAACATTGCATAAAAGGGTACAGAATGCAACACAGTATACGATATAGTATATATTTCGAATTTACTAATGAGCATGAAACACAGTAGCACGAAGAATGGTGAAAATAATAAATATCATAAGACTTCTAGTTTCGCAATGTTGAAACCACGCAGACTTTTAAGTACTTCAATTTTCGTTGCACAAACATTTCCAGAAAAAGTTAGCAACTTTAAGAATTTTTTAACAAATTCTTTATTACTCGAATTTTATTACTTACACGATTATTCAAATCCCTAATTACTTTCACTTTCGTTACACAAAATATTCCAGAGAAAGTTAACAACTTTAAGAATTTTTTATTACTCGATTATTCAAAACTCTAATCACTTTCATTTTCGTTACACAAAAATTTCCAGAGAATGTCAACTTTAAGAATCTTTTACCTAACTACTCGATTATTCAAATCCCTAATCACTTTCATTTTCGTTACACTAAAATTTCCAGAGGAACTTAACAACTTTAAGAATCTTTTATCAAATTTTCTGTTACTCGAATTAATATCGAACTTCGCAACATCATTTTCAAATCTACGAAGAATTAGTAGCAGATTCAATATTGGTGTAAATTGCATTTATACTTCTAAACACTTCGACAAAATATCTACTAACAAATACAACTTGGTATTACAATGAAAACGTTACTGCTTTCAATAAGTAAACATCAAAATTTCCGAAGCATCGTCTGTTATTTTATTCCGACTAATAACGAAAATAAAATAATACACATCGTATCACTCTTTATACATCAAAGAATACTTAATACAACGCAACAGCACAAAGAACAAATCTCAAGTGAAATCTATTTAATTGCATATTTCAGCATGCGCGTATTCTCGTGAAATAAACGCAGAAAATAACTTTACTCGATGGAAAAAGAGATAGAAAAACTATAATACAAAATTTATAGACCACGCAATCTCGAGAGAGAGAGAGAGGGAGAGTAACGTGAAGAGTTATGAATAAATTCGCGTGTAGTAGATGTGTATCGTTGAAGAAAGCCGAAACGTCATCGACACGCGGCCACCGTCCCCGAGCTTTTCCTTTCCATTCCCTTATTCGAGGCAGCAACGTCAGAAAACGTTCCCCGTCCTTTTCATCTCGATCCAACCGGGGCTGCAGAAAGACGCAAGAGTGCATCATTCTGCTCTCTCGATTTTCTCGAATCCTCTTCGCCCGTGTACGGCCTGCTGCCGTTCTCTTTTATCTTACTTTCCACTCTCTCTCCGTGGCCGCGAACCGTCTCTCCCCGTTTCCCGTCCGACCAGCCTTTCGCACCCGAGGGAAGCACGAAGCTGCCACGCGGGAAAGGAAATGCGAAAAGGATGACTTTAGCCAGCTGAATCGACTGTGATGCATGCACCTTCTTGTTCCCTCGATCACCAACGGATACGTAATAGGGCGAGGATCATTTTTTTCCTATCCTATTTCCCAGATCACTGTCGTTGGTCATTGAAAGATGAATCGTCCTCTGCGCGAGAGGGTGAAGATGTTTCTTGGTCATCGCGGAATTGAATAACGTTGTCGTTATTTTTCACATCTTTCATATCTGCACTTTGTATTGTAGTTTCTGGGGTTTACTTGGTTCAGATGGAAATTTTCTCTCGTGTTTCGCTGTTTTTCGCGAAGTTTTTTCTCGATCTTCGCTGAGCAAATTTTACGTAAGTTTGAAAGTTCTGATGGATTAAGAATTGATTTCATGATTTCATGTTTAAATAAAATTTTGTTGTACGAAGTTCTATTTTGTAGTTTCTGAGGTTTACTTGGTTCAGATGGAAATTTTCTCTCGTGTTTCGCTGTTTTTCGCGAAATTTTTTCTTGTTTTTATGTGAGTTCGAAAGTTTGAAAGAAGGATTAAGAATTGATTTCATGTTTAAGTAAAATTTTGTTATGCAAATTGTCCATTTCCTGGGTTCACTGAGACGTAGTGGTATTCGTGTGTAATACCTATTTAAGAATATAAAGTGACAAATGAGAAGTATATTCAATCCTGAGTCTATTTACCTGCTATTAACTACAAAAACATCCGGATTATTTTCTAAAACTCGCAACACATACAAAGTACGGTAAAAAGTATCGTACAAACGGACAGAAGATTGTTCCTCGTGCAAAAATAAACAAAAAATGTGGAATAACATTTTTTCATCCGAGCCTTAGTTTTTGAGAAAATCGAACTTGAAAATACGTTGGGTATGTTGCACTTACACAGCTAAGATACAGTGCCTATGGCGTTGCACACGCACGAATTTTCAAACCCGATTTTCTCAAGAACTAAGCTTCGCATGGAAAGTTTTTATTTTACATTTTCTATTTAATTTTGTGTAAAGAATCACCTCCTGCTAATTCAAGCAATATTTTCGGCAGTACTCTGTATATCTACGCGGCAAATAATTATGCTTCTCAAGGACATATGTAATGTACTATTTTTATAGATAAACACCAGATATTCTATTATTCACGTGTCCTAAAATTTCTCCTAAAAATTCATTACTTAAGTGTAGTGATTTTTATTCTTCTTTATATCACATTTTCTCCATTTCTATCGCAAACATAAACTAATAACTAAAATTATAGGACACACCAAAAAATATATTTTCTCGCAGATCTGACAAAGGGATATACATTTTATGTATTTTTCCCGTTACTCTCTTAACTTTTCTAACTTGTACTAAAAATTCTTAGACACACCTATGGACCTCTCGCGACGCATCAGTTAAATATCAACGCGTTAGTGTCACGTCATTTTCATCAAAATCTTTAATACTTCTTCAAAATCTTGGTACTAAAAGAATACTCCGTGCAACACTCCTCACGAAGTATCCTCAGGGGCCGCAACCGATGCGGTACGGGAATCACGACCCCGAGGTGCCTGAGTGCACGGTCCCGGTGGTGGCGACCCACACGAGGAGGTCCCTCCCACTCCTCTCAAGGGGGTCGGCGGGTACGCCCCAAGTATGTGTGTGGATAGCCGGGACCGCGGGGCTGTCGGGCGGGGGACCCGGCAGCTCATTGCACGCGGCCCGCGGTGGGGGCGTCGCCGGTGTGGTCCCGGCGACGCCTCGGTGGTGACGAGGGGGGCCAGTTGATCCCCTCCGAGATGGCGCCCCTCCCTCCGCGAACATCTTGAGGGAGGGGCCGGGCGTGGGGTGGGTCCGGTGGCGTTCGTTTCGAGATCCCAGGCCCACGCTGCAACGCCGAGGAAGGATCACCATGGGGGTTTTAGCCGGTATGAGTCCGACACTACCCCGCCCCGTTCCCGCGGGGCGGAGTGTTCATGAGGATTTCCCCCACGCAAGAAAAAAAGAAAAAAATCTACTCACGAAGTACAAGAACGATGCAGAAGTAAACGACCGTGTCTTTTATCTCTCTACATTGTCGTTCTAGAAACGCGGCGCACCTTAAGCAAGAGCAGAAAAGAAAACCAGCGACAAGCACTCGATACGAAGGAATTGACATCGACAACCGCAGCTGTGTTTCCGCCTCATCGGCAGCCTGTCCGGCGGATGAAATGTAAATGAAAAATCGATTCCATCAGTCGACAACATTTTTTTACAACCTTACATAGGGATCCTCGAAGTCAGGCGCACCGAGTCATGGTCCTATTAAAATGGAAATGATATTCCGCGCGCGTTGCTCCACGTCCCTGTCGCGCCTATTCATATTTTAACAAAATTGAAATCCCGATTCGACACGGCAAACGAAGCTTCTGTCAGGAGCTGTATAAAATCACGTATGATCGATCGCAACGTATCGTGGAAAATAAACATCCTTACTTCGTGCTGAACACGGACGACGAATTAATTTCGATAAAAATTCTTGCAATCTTTGCGATTGTGATAACACGAAAAATATTAAATGCTAATTAGATTTAATTAAAAAATGTAGAGAAATATTTTGATATTGATTTGTATATTTTAAAATAGCGTGTGAATTTGGTATTTGTTTCTGAAATGGTAAATACCTACATAGTGCTAATGAAATAACAGTTTACGAGATAATGGTACTGTGATAGGTTATTATCGTTAATTATCACATATTTCTTATTTTTAGTTACGCAGTCTAAAGACAAAGTTACACTTTTAGTTCCCAAATCTCTGGGTAGTCCTTCGAAAATTTCATAGCCGTGAAATAATTTTAAAATTTTATACCACGTGTAAATACTGTCAGAAAGTACTCTGACTCGGTGTAGGGTGGGCGTGAAATTAATTAAACATGCCTACGTTCTTACAATAGTATATGTTATCCAAAGTCAAGCGTCGTTCGTGAGGAGTGAGGACGCGTCGTCCTGCCGATCCCTGCCCCCCCCCTACGCGAACAGGCCCAGGGAAAGGCTCAAAGGGGCGGAGTCACCCCCACCGAGCGCGCTGGGCGTGGCTTCAAGATGCTCGCTTCACCGTCTTCAGGACGGATTTTCTCACAATATCATAAGGCTCAAACGTAATTTTTTCCAATCACCAGTTTTAATAATCGTCTTTCAATCTTTTTTTTTTGGAAAACATTCAATGATGTGTATTTTATATAATATTAACGATACAATTATTATCACGTGTAGATAACAATGTTTGCTTCTACAATCTTATCAAATATTCTAATAAAAAAGAATTATACGAGGAGCTACAAGAAAAATTTCTGAAGCATTCAGCATTATTTTTCATCCACTTACCAACTTAAGCCACGCGTTCGTCGTTAGTATTTGATTCTTCTCATCCTGAAAAAAAGGAAACAGCGAATTATTGCTACAGCAACGACAACGGTAATTTAAAAAAAATTCTCTTCAGTTTCTAATACTTTAAATATGTACTGGCAAATTTGACGGACGACCAATTACAACAGTTCTTTAAATTTGGAATACAGAATCCTGTCTATTTTAAATTTCCCTTTTCAATAAAAGGATTTAACAGCTCGACGTGCACGTGACACCTTCGTTATGGAGTGATTTTCCAGGAGAGGAAGGCGAAGATGTGTGTCAGAGGAAACGAGAAGAGCAAGGCCAGCAAATCGTAAAATTCACGCCAAAAACTGGAGGTCCAATGACCACAAATTGCTGCTGCAATCGTTCGTTTTCCAAGCGTTCTATAGGGAACCGCACTCTGCCACAGACTCATCAGAACTTCAAAGTGATTTATAAAACGAATGCACTTGGTGTCAACAGACAAACCACTTGGTAAACGATCGCGTCCAACGGATTGGAAGGTTACTATTACTTGCTGTGACACGTACGCTTCTTGATTTTTAACTAAATTTGTACACATTCGGCGCTTCTTTTTTTAAATTAGTTAATGTAACCGCCGTTTTCTGGACACGTGTCTCACCTAAAACGATGAAAGGATTGAAGGTGTATAACGAAGCTTGCGAATCTCTGATCAACTTTTCGTTCAACTGATACTTCAATAAATTTGAATTGTGGCACGGTGTGATACAAGTAGTAATAAACTGAATTTTTCTGCCACTGTTGCGTCGCACGCAAATTCACGTGAGCTCGCCTCGGTCTGGCGGATTATAGCCACGAAAATCATTAGTCACCTTTGGCCGCCAGACCGAGGTGCCGAACCTCACTTCGGCCGATCAGGCCCCCTTCGGTCTATCATGCGCCGCGCGACCGTCATTGTTCGTGCCCGCGGTAGGTTTTTCTGGTCATAAAACGGTACCGCTCTCGGGGCTGACAATTTTGCATTAACAAATTCGGTCCCCCGAAAGCGGCTCACAGGCATCCCCTTCTCC